GGGGGGGGGGGGGGGGGGGAGGGGTGGAAGAGTGACGGGTGACTGCGTGTTGCGCGGGTGGTATTCGCCGGTCGCCAGACGTAGCGCAGGAATCGCTCGACCGGAGGGAGAGAAAGACTGGGAGGGTTGGTGTACTCTCTCCTGTGTCGTGCGGGTGGCGCGCACGTTTGCCAAAGGGCCAGTGTGCCTCTGACTGGCGTGCGCGTTAGATCGAATCACTCCCACAACTCGGATTGAATAGCACCTGTCATTCCTTTAAAAAAATGTGTGAATAAGTTAAACGTCAGTGCATTCTCACTGGTATTTCAATTGTTAAACTTGCACAGTTGCACGTTTTTTCGTTTTGCTTTGTTTATTTGCGTCTTGATTATTGAAGATACTTCAAGATGTGGGTATTTAGTTGAGAATACAGTGAAGAGTAGTTGATGCGAGGGCTCGTCAGAGAGTCGTTGCATCTCGCGGTAGCAACACGTACTTGTAAGCCGACGATAACCGGGTTTATTGGTACCTCGGAAAGTCGTAACCGGCATGCGTGTGTCACGTGGAATAGGTTCGCTGGCCTGAGATATGGGTATTCTGGATGATGCCTATTTTCAACAGTGTGGAGTGACATCAGTGTACGGGGAGAATGCGGGCTTAACTTTTTCCATTGAGGTATCAGGTGGAGAATTCTCCGGGGTTGAAATTTCCGGGGGAATTCTTCAGTTCTCGTGACTGAATATTTTCAACCGGAATACTATCGATTCGGATGAATGGCTTTGGCACGTTACCGGGGGCTTGATAACTCGGGGTATAATTTTATTGTGTCTCGGGCGCTCTCGAGTGCGTCTCGAGTATGATGATCAAATTGCGATATCTAGTGGAAGGGTACGGAATATTGAGAGGTACGTGGAGAGGGAATTGTACCATCTGGTTACACCGAGGAGAGCGACTCGAGAATGTGGCTTGTGTGCTTGTTAGAGGGGTTTCGTGAGGAGGCGAGCGTATATATCCACTTGACTGTGATAATGTGGACGCGGCATATTCGATTACCAATATCGTTCGGTCTCTGCTATTCGCATGGTAGATTTCCCGAGGTAGTTGGGCTGTCTCGAGATGCCCGTGATGGCCCAGTTTGATGGCTCGATGGGGTGGCTATCTAATCGCTGGCTTCTGATGTTCGCCGGTGATTTAATTACGACCCGCGTTGTTTATTGATCATCGAGACAAAAGGGGTGCAATTTTCGGATGGGCTTTTTATGGATTCTTTGGGAAGGTTTATCGAGGGACAGCTGCACGGGAATTTGATGGAATTTCGTGATTGATAATTTACAATTTGATGGAAATTTCGGGGGAAATTGAAGTGAATTTCAAGGCAATTATTTCATGGATATTGATAGAAATCGGGGGGTAACGTCGTTGCGTACTGGACATTCATGTTTTGACTGAGAATTAAATTACGCTCTGAATCAAATATAATTATGCCAATCAAATTTATTTTTGACAAGACTTTATGGGGAAATTTCGGGAACTTGTTTGTCTGAAACGAATTTGATTGGCAGAATTATATTTTTTCCTCGGTGTAAGATGGAGAGTTCTCAATTCAATTTTAAGTCAAAGATACGTTGGTAGTTACTCTTGGCCAATGGTTTTTATTTTTTATGAAATTTTCGATAAATTTTTTTCACATTTTTTTAAAGTCACTGTTGCATTGAAGTTTAAAGAAATTTTGTTATTGGAAATTCACAATTTGATGGGAGAATCAATGAAAACGGTAAATTTCAGTGCAATTATTCCATAAAAATTACTAGAAATTGAAAAAATTCAACGGAATTGGGTATTAAACATTCATGTTTCAATCGACAAAGCGAGCAATTCGGAGAATTTTCGTATTTCTGCTGCTACGAAATTTAAAATGCCATAAAATTTTCACTGAAATTTGAAACGTTATTATTTTTTCCATCCAAACCTCATTCAATATTGCTCTCCTGAAAAATCCTACTAAACTGTCGGACATTTTTTGAAATTCAGGCAATAGTTTCCCGTGAATTTCCAATTCTGTAAATGTGAATTCAATTTAAGGCCAAAGATAGATAGCTAATAACTCCCAACAAATACTTCCAACAGCATCACCATTTTGTTCTCTAAAACGCTTATCGCAAAAGTTCATTCCCCCCAATTTTCTTTTCAGTTTTCAATTCAAGTGCGTCCGATTGGCGAATTAAAAAGCAATCGTCGAACGATCGGCTAAAAATAATGGGAGGGAGGGGAGCTGATTGAAAAAGAAGACAAAAACATTGAATAGAAGTTGAAGGGGCGACGGGGTAGAGTGTGGAGGATTTAAAAAATGGGAGAATGTTGGAAGCGAGAGCGACCACCAAGTGGAACGCTCCCTCGACTCACATTGCGAAACGGATTTCTCATTGGGGAGAAAACACACGAAGTAGTTTTTATCCTTCCTCACTGCCTTTCAGCCAACTGGCCATAACCTCTCGCGGGAAATCTCGAATGTAACGTGTTTTTCAATTAAATACTCGAGACCAACATCCGCTCGAGATGTCCGCACTACTCTCATCTCGTCATCATTCGGAACTAGAGATGTGCAAAAATTTTGTGACAGATGCCAGTTATGACAATTTTTGCCACATGACCTAATTATTATACTTTATTTAAACTAAATAGCAATAATAATGTCAAACTACTAAAAATTTCATAACAGTTGTTCAATCTTATCACATTTTTGTGATACAAATTCTATGTGACTGTCATATTTCATTCAAAAAGCAATAAAAATGTCACATTTTTCGAAATTTCACAATGGCTTCTCAGTTTTATGACATTTTTGTGACACAAATTTTATGTGACTCATATCTCATTTAAAAAGCAATAAAAATGTCATATTTTTTAAATTTCACAATGGCTACTCAATTTAATGAAATTTTTTGTGACACAAATTCTGTGGAATCGTCATATTCCATCTAAATAAATCTAAAAAATATGTAACATAATCCACATAAATTTGTCATACCAAAATAAATAATGACAGTCATTCTCACATGCCCATTCGGAACTCATGAAAGAGAGGATGAAAGTTCACTTCAAGTAGGGATTCTCGTTATTCATCCTCTCAGCGGGGATCTAATGTCAACGGCTCCCTTTCTTCCCTAAATGAATCCCAGAAATGCCTAATTAAAAACTACCTTCATCCCTCTGGTCTCTTGATGATGGAAAATAAAGAGAGTTTCCCGGGGTTTCGTATTACCGACTGTATTGAAGAAAACAGCAATTATTTTTCATCCCTCTACGACTCAGTGTCTCGTTCCCCCTGACTTCGCGTCAGAAATGTAGAAAAAAATCGCAGAACCTGGAGTCATTATTTTCCTTCATCCCTTGCACACTAATGCACTGCAATTAATTCGTTCGGGCCACATGTACATCGATAGTTGAAGAAGAAACTCTATCCTCTCAGATTCTCCGTGGAACCATACCCCCTATCCCCCACGATTCTTCAACCGCCAAGCTCATCGATATGAAGAAACTTTGAAGCCCCCGAGTGGCACGGGGAAGCCCTTTCCAAATATGAGTGAATTTAACGTTCACTCGTGTGTGCCGCATCCTCTCAAGGGACTCATGATGCTGGGGGATCGGCTTGGAATATCGATGCGTCGCCAAGTTTTTCCCAACATTTTTCCTCGATGGCACTCGAGCAATTCTGCGGTGAGAGTGAGGCATCAACCCTAGAGCCTCGAAAATCTTCCCTCAATTATTAATTGAAGTAACTCCGATATTCGCAGTTTATCATAATTAAAAAATTTAATATGAGACGGAGAAAAACGCTGAAGAAAAATTACTAAAAAGTTGAGTAAGAAATTTCGTACGGCGAAATTTTGTTTTACATCTTTGGGACTCTATTTATTTGAATTCTTCTCTGCTCACTCCATGAAATTTACGGATTCTCAGGTAAATTGCTCTGAAGTGGTCGAATTTCTCCAGAATTTCATTAAAAATTATGTCAGTGGACATAAATGATGACTGAATTTTCCGGATTTCTATTAATTTTCATGGAATAATTCAACTGGCATTTAATGTTTTCATTGATTTTTTTTCATCAAATTGTGAAAGTTATGTTTAGTTGATTGTTATTGAGGAATTATTCATTATTAAGAAAAATTGAATGACATTGAATTTGATTGAGGTGGAGAAAAACCATGAAATTTATACTTTCTTACTGAAAATTGAATGAAATTCCTGTTTTCTATTACCAGACAGACAAGAATTCCCGAATTTACTTAAATTTTCACTCAAATCATGGATATTCAGTACTTAATTTCGTTCAATTTTCAAAAAATTGATAAATGGAGAATATATTCACCTGAATTTCTCCTGGTTCTATTAATCTTTATCAAATAATTGAACTAAAATTCACAGTCTCCATTAATTCCTCTCTAGAATTTCTAATCTTTAATTACAAAATTCCTTGAAATTTCAGGGGAACTGTAATATGATGAAATATTCCAAGAAGTGCATTGGAAATTTCAGCTAAAATTTTTTCCTCAATGTTTCCCTCCGTGCAAAGAATCATCGAGATAAAATCCCGAGAGCTGCTGTCCATTCATCCCTGAAACTCGAAAATATCGTATACGTGCTCGATGAGCCGTCTCAAAGGCAGCTACACCATTAATGGATTTCTAGTTACATTGGAAAATAAAAGAAAAAAATCACCCACAGGAGATAAAACCCCGAGCCGTTAAAACGTTTGCTCTCCAACCGCGGTGAAATTAATTCCGATTGCTGGGTGTATGGTATCGGGCGTAACAGAGCAGGTACGAATAACACGTGCAGAAGTGAGACAGGGCTGTTTCCCTGAAAAACGAGCGGATCGACTAACGAGGTAGGTAACAACCCCTCTCGGGTTCGTGCTCAGGATACGCGCACTGTAGACGAAACGCTGGCGCTACCGATTCGACTCCAAATGGAAGAAATGAGAATGGGCAGGGATGATAACCGAGAGTAAAAAAGAAACAAGAAAAAAAAATATCATGTGAAATATTACAGGGCCCGCATGGATTTCAGTAATATGTTGAATCCTTTTTACCGACTCCTCCTTTATACCCGTTTTTTTCACTGCGATAATGACTCACTGGATTTATGAATAGCCATTTTAAGTGGAAATTAAAAAATTGAGTTGGAAACTTTTTGAAACAAAATGGGTTGAGCTCAAAATCCGCTCAACGCTAGAAGGTACCATTGGTACGATAATCGATGTGTGCTAGTGATACAGTGCTGGAAAGAAATTGAACCTTCAATCATGACATGATTATTAAGCTTTAATAATGTTAATTAATCATTAACAATTATTATTAATTAATTAACATTATTAACAATGAATTGAAAATAAAAAAAATTACCTCTTTTTTCCTAATTTCTATTGATTTTATGGAATAATCGAACAGAAATCTAGTTTTCATTGACTTTTCCATGAAGTTTTGAATTTCCAATTATGAAATTCTTTGAAATTACAGTGAAACTGAAATTCGATAAAAATTCGAAAAAATGTACCGGAATTTTCAGCCGAACAATTTCACCAGTATATTTTGAAGTATTTTTTTCCACTTGGAACTCTTCTGCACTCATTTACCTCAGAAATCTCGACAAAGCAGCCTCGCGCATGTTTCAAATATCCATTTTTATTTCGATTGGTATCGATTCCAGTAAAATGTCGAACCTTTTTCCCCACGATAATAACTCCCCTGAATCAGGAACAGTCATTTTAATTGGAATTAAAAAAACCGAGTTGGAAATTTTTTGAAACAAATTGGGTTGAGCTCAAAATCCGCTTAACGCCAAAGTTTACCATCTACAATAATCGATATGTGGTAGTGGTATGCTGAAGTATGTTTTTTTCGCTTGAAATTCTTCTGCACTCATCTAGCCCAGCAATCTCGATAAAAAAAGAGAATGATTCCGTTGGCACGTCAAACGGCGAGCTTTTTTCACGTGTAACTTTTTAGCATTGTCAGACTACATATACACATTTTTACCTCTCTCTCTGTTATTTTTAGCCCTCCCTGGGTAGTCTGCTCTGCATTGACACTCACGTACCGCTGGAGCTCGGGTTTCGCTCGACGATAGCTCCAAACAATCGTCCAGCATTCGGCAGAATTGCCTTCGACTTTTGCAATATAGCGAAACGCTGATGGAATACATATGCAGTGCTCTCAAATCCAGCGTGTGTTTCAAAATTCAGGGGTTGGGTTTATACGATTCTCTCGGCCTGGTTCACGTAATATTTTCGGTTCTGTGGATGAAGAGCGAGAGTATACGAGCGGTAATCCCTCGTGATCAATGAAAATGATGGGGTATGGTGCCGGGGTAATGGGGTAGGTGTCTTTGAAGAGGTACAACTTTCGTTATAGGAATTACAAGGGGAATTACACCGCAGGAGGATGAATATTTGGAGTTGAAAAGTATTTGGCGGGTTTTTGAAATTATTCTGATGGGCTTTCTTTGAGGATTTTTTGTTCGCCGAAAGCTTGCGTGGGATTACGGTGATGAGAATGCATTAATATGATTTGTCAATTAATTGCCGAATTTTATTTTTTTTACGGACAATTTTTATTCAAGTTGCCACGCAGAGCGAATTTCAGGAAATCTTGTCATTGAAAAATCGAATATTCCGTTGATTTTCTGTTCGAATGGTCGGAAAATCAATTGAGTACTTGATTTTTCAGTTCAATTATTCCCTGAAAATTCGGAAAAATCAGGAAAATTCAGGGAAAAATGGAAAATTCCGGGTTAATTTCCAGTGAAATTTCAGGAAATCTTGTCATTGAAAAATCGAATATTCCATTGATTTTCTGTTCGAATGATCGGAAAATCAATTAAGTACTTGATTTTTCAGTTAAATTATTCCGTAAAAATTCAGAAAAATCAGAAAAATTCGGGGATAAATTCACGTAATTTCGAAAAATTTCTAACCGTAAATTGAACTCAATATCGTTCTCCTGAGAATTATGTGTCAATATAAATGTTTCTCAATTAATTAGATTCCTCAATTAACTTCATCCACTCGCCGTTCAATCTGTTGTCCAACGGGAATAACACGCAAATGAAAATGCACTTATTTCCTGGATTCGTGGTCGCACAGGTATTCCTTCCCCGGCTCAATTCCCGCCAATGAGAACGAATAATTCGGGCCCCATAAGCGAGTTATCGAAGTTCCATCGGTTGAACTTTATCGAGCTCGCCCTCTCTCACTCCCTCTCCCGCAGACTCGCCAAGATCTATTTACTATCAAGTCCGGCACGTGCACCCACAGAGTTGACCTCGCACTCGGGTGCTCGGTCCTCACGTCACGATTCACCGTCTTTCCATTGTGGCCTCACTCGCTCCGGTGACCAACAAACATGAGGAGTGTGGAATTTGCCGGACAATTTCAATCAGTTTAGCGCTTGCAGCGAGATTCCGAATTAGGGGGTCACGTTGGGGAACGGATTTTATCGAATTTATGGGGGTTTTTGTGATCAGTCGATCTCGGGGAATTTCATAGCTTTAGAATTTTGAGAAACATTTCTTCGAAGGGGAGAACTAGACAATTTTATGATTTAATTTTTATGGATCAATTGAACAATTCGATTTTATTTTTTTTGTAGCTATACGAAATTAAATGTTCAGACAAAAAATCCTTGAGAAAGTTTTCAACATTAGAACTTTGAGGATTTTTTTTCAGGTTTCACTGAATTTACGCGGGTGTTTGTGGTCAATCAGCCTTGAGAAAATTCACAGCGTTAGAATCTTGAGAAATATTTCTTCAATGTGGAGAACTGAACAATTTTATGATTTAATTTTCATGGCTATCAACTGCGAATTTCGATTCTAATTTTTCTTTAACAAGAAAAAACAATAGTTGTTCCCATCCCGTTTCTGTCCCTTCAATTCTTATAACGCATCAAAGAATTTAAAAATTTTGCAGCGTTAGATTTCCGACACATATTTCCAGAAAATTAGAAAATTACTGAATGATTTAACGATTTATTTTTCATAAATTTCACCTCATTATTCTGATACAATTTTGTTTCCATAAAATCACTATAAACTGGCAAATAAAATGTTTTCATCATCTATTGTCGACTAATTCCCCAATTCCATGTTTATTTTCAACTCCCCAAAATTCCTGAACAGCTGCAATTGGCATGAGTCAGCTTGCGCTGACTTAAAAATCCCCCGTTTTTCACACGTCCAATATAATGTTCACGTCGATATCAGCCAGCCTGGTTGTGATAGTAGCCCACCCGAGCCCCCCTTCCCCCACCCCACCCAATTCGACACATGTACACAATATAACCCAAACTAACTGAGAAATTTCCTCTCGTTTCTTTTCGCCCAGAGTAACGGCATCCCGTACAGCGTCCTAACGGCCCTTCCGTGCAAAAGTAGTGCGAGCGTTATTTACGTCAGACGACGCGAGCAGAAAGCGCCCACTGAGTGTTGGCTCTGGAAGAGTGAACCGAAGTAAGCAAAAAGAAAAGGGAGTGAGCGAAAAATCAGCGGTACAACGAGAAAAATGAAGGGAGCATTGTAAACGTAAGTCGTTCGGATGTTCAGTGATGAAGAAATAGGTCCGATGCATTCTCCCGAATTTCCGGGCAAATTCCGTGAGTCAAAACCCCACGTCCCATGAACCTCACCCACGAAAAAAGATTTAAAAAAGCAGAGTTGCCTCTGAATCCAAATTGAGTCATCAATGCAGGGCAAATAAGGAAAAAAAAATCCGAATAATCCCGAAACCCCGGAAAATGGAAAAACGTGGATCGACGAGTGCTGAAAAAATCGAATCGACCTCATAGTGAGCACGAACTGCAGACCCGGTGATTCCCCAGATCCATAGAACCCCGCAGCAGAGAGAAATCGTTCACGTAAATAGTGTTTATATGTGTGTGAGTTAGTGTATGATAGAGTGGGCAAAATGTGCTGCTCTGGAGGCACAAGCGGTTCGAGGATGACCCGGTGCGGGGTCGTTTGTGGTCTGGCAGCGTTGGCAGCCCTCACCACTGCCCTTCTTGGACCAGCTTGGCTTCATACTGAGGAAAAACTATCGCTTCCACATCTGCCACGACAGCTTGCCGTTACCGTCAGGTTCAAGCTTGGGCTGTTTAAAGTATGTCCTAAGATCGTCAAGCCACCGAATGTCACCTTACGTGAGTATATCGTTACTTTATATCATTTCCAATGCATTTCATCGAAAATATTGGAACTGCTGATGTCTCGGAGGCATTTTACTTTAAGAAGAAAAATGTTTTAGCGATAGGAAAGGTGGACTGAGTTATATTCTGCTTGACTGCACTTTCCTTATTTGTGAAATTTATTTTCTGCATAGTAATGCCGCGAGACACTTCACGAGACAAAAATTTGGAGAGAAGATCTCGGTCTCAATGAACATGGACATCATTGATCTCGTCTGCGTCTCGGAATACGCAGTGTCGACTCCTCTCGTGATGACTTCGAGTCAATTTATCTCATTTCGGTCTCCAGTTTTTTGCGTTTTTTAATGGAAAATCTTGGCTTTTGTCTCGGTTTGTCTCGTCTCGGTTTTCTACATATAAAAAACGCGAAAAACTAGAAACCGAGATGAGATAAATTGAGTCGGGGTCATTACGAAAGGAGTCGATATTGCGTATTTCGAGACTGAGACGAGAGCAAAGATTTCCATACTCGTTGAGACCGAGATCTTCTCTCCAAAGTATTGTCTTGGGATGTTTCGTGAAATGTCTCGCGGCATCACTATTTCTGCATGGACATAATGAAAAATTCATTTTATTTGGTGGAATCCGAAAGGAATGGAATCTATTAAACATTACGAACCTGATAACTGCATTATGAAAATGAATGGTAAATAGGAAAACACCAATTATAAAATTAATCGTGCGGGAAAAATTGATGAATAATTTTGAATCCATGATAAATTCTGTTTACATTTTTAAAAACCTGATAATTTCGCACGTTATTAGTTCGACATTTGAGAGAATTTTCTAGAATTTAGCTCTCAGACGTGTTCACGTCAAACGAAAAAAGTGAATCAAATAGATGCAATAGTCAAAAACGAAAAATGAAAGAAATTCGAATTTATGAGACTCGTAAAAGTAAATGATAAATTAGAAAAAAAACAAATTAAATGAGTACAGTAGGATTATACATCGATTTATTACAATCATCACCTTTTTGTAACCATCAATAGCGAACCACTCGTCAAAAAAATTTGTTCATCCTTCACTTGAGATGATGAGGTTGATTATCGACGTCATAAAAGAATGGGGAAGGAATTGTTTCGTGTTTGGAGAATTATTGGAGTCAAGGTTTACGGAAGTATTATTTTTCCCCCAGGAAATTTATGACGGCCATTAGAAAAAAGGCATTCCTTCTTCTTCCCCCCATTTTATGTATCTTTTCCTCATTTCTCTGTTTTCTTATTCTCTTTTGACGCGACAAGACAATACGAGAAAAGAGGGATGTAAAAAAGAAAGAGGCAGGAACCTGAATGTTCCACACAGCAAGCCCCCCNAGTTATTACGCCCCCCCGCCCCCCTCAAGGAGACGTTGACACTTTCGTTTTATCGCCTGACTGTCTCCCAGCTCGCGTCGTTCACTTTGCCAGCAAGCTCTTCGACTTTTTACCCGCCCCGTTCCCATTGACGCCTCCATTTCATCTCATGAATCTTCCCCTCCTCAACCCTCCGTCTTGTTTCACGAAGCATTGGGAACAAAACAAGTGCAAAGGGGGCAGGGAGGGTGAGCGGACAATGTCATAAGAAAATTCACTCGAAAAGTCTCAAAGGCGATTATGAAGCGACGACAATGAGGAAATATAATACAATAATGAGGACAACTCGAGGATCTCTTCTCACCTTTTTACGCCCCTCTGGGGGCGGCGGACTGGGGGAGGATAGAGCAAATGAACATCAAGAGGGTAGTTCGTGAGGAAGGGCATGGACCATAGTTTTGATGTCCAATGAACATAAGTCGTCGTTGAAATTGTTCTGTATCTCCGTTGTTATAATCCTTGAGGGTGCACTCATTATTCTCCACTCTTTCTTCATGAGAAAAATAGTTTCTTCGAGAAACGGCTGAATTTAAGACATTGGACGGGATAATGTGTCTTATCGGGTAATTGCGCGCTGGCGGGATATTTTCGTAATGTATGAAATACAAAACACAACATTTAAGATTTTTTTTCCGTCGCAATTCCAGACTACACTGTTAGAAAATTACTCCTGAAATTTCAAGTAAAAAATCTTGAATTTTTTAGCAATCACTCTTTCACACGAAATTTTCATGTATTTCGCTATTGAAAAATTCAAAATTCAAAGTTGAATTCTGGAGTATTTATGGAATTACAGTTTTCAGGTCCAGATGATGATGAAAATGATTAACTAATTTGGAAATTCAAGCAACAATTTCCCTAAATTTCCACTGAAAATCATGCAACCATTGAGAACCAAAATTAATGAAGTATTTTGAAAAATAAAAACGCAAGTTTCTCTTGATGTCTTAATTTGAAGCACTGTAAATGACCTAAACTGCTGGACACGAACATCCCAAAAAGGTAAATTTTTCTGATAGATCCCCGAAAAAAACGCGAGGACAATAAAAATCAAATCCGAGCAACCAATACAAAATATTACATAGAAGTCACGAATTTCTCTCTGGTATTGATATAACGCCAAGCGAGAAAAAAAATGTTATCCCAATGATCGAACGCACAACCGATGCACTCGCTTCCGCGGGAAGTTGTCGAAAAACGAGGAACAGATACAATTTATCAAAAAATGAAAGAAAATAAAAGTCAAATCAGAGGGTAGGGAAGATGGAAGACAAAGAGCTGATGGAGTAGGACATGGTACGATATTGTGTACCAATTGATAAATGATTCAAAACGAGGAGTGAGGGTTTTGGAAAGCGACGCCTCTCGGCGCTATATCTTGCTCGATCTCCAGCGCTCTCTCGGGTGTTTTCCCTCGTGGCCTCGATAAGTCTTCTAACCAATGAAGACAAATCGTTGACGTCCCGCAGTTTTACCAACCATGTAATTAATCGTTTCGGTAGTGAGTGTGTAACGAGACGCTAGTGCGTACAGATACCCGTAAGATAAATAGTGAGACGTTTTGTTGGATGTCAGTTGGACTTTGGTGGTAACTGGGAAGCTTTGCTCGATGGTGGGGTGCCATCAATCATCTATGGCAGTCAGATCTGCATTTTTTTGTTGTTGGCATCGGATAATCCACATGGAGCTGATGATTTACATGCGTATAATCTTCGTAAGGCCTTTGTATGACCCTCGTGACCCCGGTAACCTTCATCTCAGCTCAAATGACCTCCGTATGACCCCTACGTAAACTGTCAAGTTTTTAGACGGAATTTTTTGATGAAATTTGCAGTCCAGATGTTCAAAATTTTCATCACATTTAAATTCCCCTGAAATTTTAGAGGATTTTATCACTGAAAGTTTAAAATTTTCGACAAAACCCGAGGGAGACCGATATTATTGGCTTCAGAATGGATTGACCAGCTTGAATTTCCAATGAGATCTGAAATTTCATGACTAAATTCAGTGGCGAAGGGGTAAACGGAGATGAGTCGATTTATGTCCCAGTTAGTTTTTGAAGAATATTTCCAAATCTAAGGGAGATAGCGAAATTTTCGTAATTACATTTGTTGTAGCACTCAATCGGCTCCACAAAAAAGGTTATAACAAAAATTTTGCTATCTCCCTTAGATTTCGAGATACTGATTGAAAACTGGTCAAAAGTCAAAATTGACTTATCTCCTTTTACCACTTCGCTACTGACTTGAATTCGTTCTCCCTCTCTTGAAAATTCCCAGTTAACTGTCCATAAAATTTCAATTTTTGTTCTGATGGAATAACCTTTCGACCATTTTCTAATCCTTTTGCATGACAAGTACATTCCATTCTGACTCTTATCATAATTTTATGTACCAATTTAGAATTTTTATAACCAATTTATTCAACCTCCAAAGATTTTGAATTAATCAGTGAATATGACTGTGTTGATTCATCGATTCCACGAGAGAGAGAAGCGAAGTTATGCTCAACAAGTTTTATGAAATTATCAAAGACTGCTGAGCGCGCGAGAGAGACCAGAGGTAATGCCCTCGCTCCAGACACTGCTCTCAGACTGCCGCAGTATAATCTGATAAGTGGCTGACGTCGGGTTGACCCTAACAGAGGTGGACCGCGAGATGGGATATCCGTGGAAAAATAATTCTCAAGGAGCCACCCGGCATCTCTGGAATTCTCCCCCCACTCGGCTCCTATTTTCTTTTTGCGAAAGCTTTTGGAGCGGGTAGACAGAGTATAACCGAATTAAATTCAAAAGTTTTGCTACTGGGGGATCCAAGCGTGTCCGCTCTCATTGCTCATCCCTCGGGGTAGCCGCAACACTGTATTGAGCGTTGGAAAAATGAGGAACAGGGAAAGCCTCTCATAGGGTCATGCGGGAAGGAAGGAGATAACACTTAAAAATTGGTGGTCATTTTTCATGATTTCAACCGCCGGTTGTTTGGTCATTTTGACGAATGCTGGGGTGTGACTCCATTTGCTAACTCCCTTTCTTTCGCAAGTGTTGAAAATGGCCGCGATTCTGCGTTGAACAATAATTCTACACCATTTTCTGCATTCACTGGTAGAAAAAAATTGAAATTCCATGGACAGTTGACTGGTAACTGTCAGGAGAATGAGATTTAATTTTATTTGGGAGAGAATAAAATAATGAAATGTCGGATTTCAGGGAAAATTCAATGAAATTTCATTTTTTTCAGAAAAAGGAGGAGGAGAATTGCCCAAGTTAATATTATTAAATCATGAAGTTATCATTCTCAATGAAACGTAAATATTAATTAGTCGATTATGCTGTACTTTCAATTAATTGAAGAAAAAAAAATGTATTCACGTGAATCCGCCTGATTTCTATCAATTTTTACGGAATAATTGGACTGAAATCCAGTTTCTATCGATTTTTTCATAACATTTGAAATTTTCAATGATGAAATTGCTTGAAATAACAGTGAAATTCAATTCAATTCTTTATTTCCTTGATGTTACAAAAGTTTTTCTTTGTTTTACATCTACACATGCCTTCCTTCTTCACAGAACAACAACAATAATTTCTAAATACTAAAATCA